AAAAAAAAAAAAGGCATTTTTGACGCTTAAAAATAGAAAATGCTCATTAAATAAAACAACTAAAATAGTTGAGAAGAAAAAATTTCTTACTTGTTTTTTTTTTTTTTTTTTAGGTATTTTATAATGATTGTCATTTTACAAATGGCTATTATGAATTTGCAGAAAAAAACAAAAAAAAAAAGCAGATGAAAACTGAGGTTGTCGTCTGTATCAACCCGTGTAACCTTTATTTCTGTTCTATCAACAACCAATTTTGATACCGTTTTTTGTTTTTTCAACATCATCAAATATTGCAGTAAAAATTGTTGTCAAAAATTGAATTTATTCAATAAATTATAAGCATAAAATTCTTTTTTTTTTTTTCTACATTTTATTAACATTTATCTCTCTCAAAAAAAAGAATGTTAAGTTTAACGACAAATTACTGATAATGCTGCTGCTGCTGCTGCTGCATAATTGATGTTTGATATAGCACAATGGCTCAATGCAATTTCATTGACAATGGATGGTTACCTTTGGTACTTTATAGTTTGCAAATCATCATCTTTCTTTTAAACATTTGGTTTTTTTCATCGAGAAAAGAAAAAATTAAGCTATGAATAACAAATAACATTTAATAATCTTGAAAAAAAACTGATATGAATGACCTTTTCCTGGTAACACTTCCCAACAACTATAATTTACCCAAGCCATTGATTATTTTAACAAATTAAGCAAAATGATTTTTTTAAAGCTAATAAAAATTAAGCATATTACTTGTGATACAAATATTTATTTTTAAATAACTTATTATATATTACTTAGTTAGTCAGTTTTTCCACTTTTTTTTCCCCCATTGGAACAGATATATAAATATTTTTTTTTGTAGTGTCAACTATCAATGCTTATTCAATGGTTTTTGTTTTTGTTTTTTTTTTTGCTTGTCCCACCTTATGCTATTTCTGATTTCTTCCTTTTGACAACATATTTATTTATTATTGATTTTCTTAAAGAAATATGGTGGTTTTTAAAGTGTCAATCAGTAAAAAAAAATGAAGAAGGAAAATCAGAAAGCTAAAACACCAACATTGATAAATATGAAGTTTCACAGCTCTGTGCACAGTGAACAGTAACCAAACACGGAATAAAACATAAAATCTGTTTGTGGCTTTACA